ATTTATGATTATTTTATTATCGAAGGATTGCATTTTAATTTCGTTGTACAATGTACAATGACAATAAAGATATAGTGAGACCTCTCGCCTGAAATATACGATCTTTGATAAAATCCCACATTACTGTAACTCGGTGCAGGAAAAGAATTTAATGTGGGGGGTAACTGTGCAACAGGCTATTTTAAACGCTGTTCCACAAGCGTATCACTCTGAACAATAGGTTTGGCTGTGAGAATTTGTTGTGGAATAAGCGGGCCTTGTACAGCAGTGATATTGTGGGAACGGGCATAGATACTGGGAAAGAAGTGTGTTAGTTTAGGGTGACGGCTGTCTATGTGAGAAAAATAAGTGGATATCGAAGGAAATTAACCCCCAGTAACTGTCCGCAGAGAAACATACTTCTCTGTAGAAGCTTGACAGTTATTTGAGTCCACTTAGGCCGAGAGTCTCTCATTTTCTGACAGCAGTCACGTGTGGCAATTTCATTTTTTCATGATGTCTGGCAGCAGTGATGTAATCCAGGGGTGGACAAACTGTAAAAAAGGCACATTAGGTGATATCTTGTATAAATTGTTGAACAAATGGCTTGGAACAATTCCCACAAGCTGACATGAAGAGAAGAAAATTAATTTTGTTCAGTGGACTGGTCAGATGCATGACCAGGGATTCTTTGGTAGCTATGACGCACTGCCACCGGCAGATGGAGCTGTAGTACTGTGTCTTAAACAGGCTTGGACAAAAACTAATAGGGCACGTCTTGCTCACAACTCAGCGAATTTCCTGAACAAACAAAAGGCAGGAGCAAAACTTCAGAAACGTGAAAAGTTTCTCCAGAACTGTGTTACTTTTCTGGCTGAATTTGAGAAAATTCAGAAAAAGACAGCGGTTGTTGAGAAAGACTCCAGTGACACAAAAACGCTTGCGGCCTCAGCTCCGCCTCTAGAGGAGGAGGAAGTCAGCAAACTCACAGACCTTCAAAATAATGTTCAACATCAAATGCCACTGTGCGCGGCCACAGAAATTGAAATTGAATTAATGGTTATTAAAGGAGGTATTTTAAAAACAGCAATTTTTCCAGGAAAACAGGAAGACTGGACGAGAGCCCCGGAATATCTGGACATGATAGTCGCAAGCGCTGGGGCTCCGCCCGTCTCTTGTTGTGAAGAGCCCGGCACTTC